CACTAATACAAAAATCGGTTAACATTTGTTCAATAATAGAAATGACAAAAGATTTTCCGGAACCAGCTAGACCATTCCCCACTATATGAAAAGAAAGTGGTTTGGACGCATGTCTGAAACGTCGTCGACTTTCTTCATAGCGCATAATAGCTTGAAGATATTGCTTGAAAAAATTGACCAAAAATCGTTGTTGTGTATTAGCTGATGCTAATAATTCTTGGGTTCGTGTAAAAGGACAGTTAATTTGCATATCATTTTCGTCATTAATATTTTCATTTAAAGCATTTTAATTTAAATCGATTTTACAATTAGTAGTATTATTATCATTGATTTCATTACTATTGTCATTAATATTATCTTCAATATCTTCTTCATCTTCTGCTGTAAATATAAATGATGTTCTAGGTTTGATAACAAAATCATGAGTATTTAAGTCACATAAATGTTCAAGTGCATTAAGCATTTGTACTTTGTAAGCACCAGATAATGTAGAAAACTGTTGCATTAATTTACTTTGATTTTTTAATAAAATTTGGTACAACGCTTTTATATCATTCTCTACAATAGCAATAGATAAAGTTCTCATATATTTATTAATCAAATTTATAAGACATATACCTTGTTTATTATTAAGAAATTCTTCAAATGGATCTCGATATGGTATTCCGATCGAAAGAATCGAATAAATAGCTAACATGGAATCATCATAACGACAAGTAAAACTAATAGAAGACGGTTCTTTGTGTTGAATTAATATTGTACCACATGATAAAACTAGTCGAGGAAGTGAAGCTGATGTTTTAAGTAGAGGTGGTTGATTAAAATCAGTACGCCAAAGAGGATTTTCAACATATGGTTCTTCTAATATTTCTGCTATGTTCATAGAAGAAGATCGATCGAAATCAAACCAAGTCAAAAATTCAAATAAAGTCATTTGATCAATAACAGATGGAGTAGATGGTCGTTTTATATATCGATATGTTAATGATTCAACAAGGTCATCGGGAGTATTTACTTCTGTTCGTCCACGTTTTAGTATTCTTTCTTCATCCCATGGCAAAGAAATATATAAGCTTTTGCATCTCATTGATGAATGCTATAGAGGTATACCTGTAACTCATAGATTATCTATAGCTCTATCAATTATATATCGATGTACCTAAAACAGTCCATGATGCTTCAACTTTACCAACTTGACGATGAGATAGTACTGCATTTCCTGTCTTCAAAAGAACATT